GGGGGGGGGGGGGGGGGGGGTGTCGGACTTGATGATCTGTTCAGGTCCTTTCTGATCCTATAAACTATGAGTCACGTTGCCAGGATTCACACAGACGCAGCTCACAGGCTGCCCCAAGCATTTCACTGGCGCAGCTCCGATGGGGTGCCCGATAGCAGGCTAAGAGTGCTCTGTGTCAGAGATAGGAGCTAGCCTGTGCGCGAAGGCCAAGCTGCAGTGGTGGAGTGAGTGGGAGGAGGGGAAAAAAGAAAAAAAAAAAAAAGGCCTCTAAAGAAGAAAAAAAAGTTACAACTTTTGAAGAAAGTTAGAGTGTGCAACCATCCCTACTGCATAGCGTGCCAGACACCAAGATTAAACTCCGTCACTGGAGCGTGAATCAGAGGGATCTTAGTCCTGCATTATGCCTTTAATCTCAACCCACCCCTGACTCCAGAGTTGACACCAAATGGCTCTATAAATCGGAGATCTTCATAACAGCAGTTGTTGATGAAATCTACATGGGGAGGGGCAGGGGGTAGTTTGGGATAACCATCTGCATCTGCCTACTGCACCGTCAGACAGGACTGTGGACTGAACGGACCTCGAGTCTGATCCAGCATGAAAATCCACAGAAGGAACTGAAGGAAAGCACCAAGCTCATTATTCTACAGTCAACAGCCATTACATTTACCAGGTCCGACATTCTTCCGAGTTGCACGGCAGATATTCTGGAGTCTAAGCTTTCTTTTTTGGTGGAGCTCACAAAAATACATGTCCAGCCTGAACCTCTGCTGCACTGGGAAACCCCATTCTGCCTGCAGGTCACAGGCAAATCATGCTTACTCTACGCCAGCTTCAGTCACATTCATCGTGATTGTATACAAAGAAACATCCCCCTCCTCCCATCTTCAGCCCAGATCATGGCCTACATAACCCTCACTCTAGGCTCTGATAAAGACAATGGGTGGCCTTGCATTAAGAGCCTTGCTCTGGAATGAGCAGTTTGGCCATTGGTTATCATCACACCCAAAGTAACAGCAGTCTCCCCGCCTATGATCTCTGCAGCACTGTAAACAGCTGAACTGCCTGAACATTTTGTTTGCATTCGCAGTCATCAAGCTACACAAGGAATATTATTTACAATCTGTGGAAGATTAATAGTTGCAAAGGCATCATGTTTCTCATGAACCAGGAAGTCTTAGGACATACATTCTTCTGGAAGAGGGGGAGGGATATTATAGAAGTTTCCCAGTGAAGCTGGCAGTGGTCCAGGTGATTTTCAGGGACACCTCTTACAGGCACCATCCTGCATCATTAACTCAATGACAGCTTTGACATTTTCTTCCATGCAAGCAGGGTCAGGGCTTGTGTGTTGATGCTGCTGCATACTTTTCTGAATTGCAGCGGGTCCCTGAATGCAATCCACCCCCTTCTCTGATTTAAGTTGTAGATTATTGTCTCATGGGAAGGTAGAGCTTTGCTCACTTGGGTGACAGCCCAGAAATGGTACAGAACCCACGTGGGCCAAAAAGTCTTCAGCAGTGAATGTAGGTATCTTCCAAAGTCAGTAGAAGCTGCACCCGTGGCAGCTGGAAAGTCATGTTTACCCAAATCAGGAATCCTATTAATCCCCATCCTCAACAGACGTTACATCTTTGTTTATATGCTTACTCTACTGGGAACAGAAACATCAGCAGATAAGATGACTCACTGGTACTCCACAGCATGAGATCATGCGGCACAGAACTGGTTACGATGGGGTCCTTGGACCCTGGGCTCAAGTTCACAGGGGTGGCAAAGATTTAAAAACCTCAGGATAAAAAAGTCTGCCAAGTCACCAAGTACATTCAGCCCTGTCCCAAGCAGGTGTAATCCCAGAGATACCCAGAAGGACTAAATTTGTCCCTAGATTATCAAGTTTCCTTTCATTCTGCGGACACCTGGTTCGTTGCTGCGGTTGCCTAAAACTCAACGGAACACTGGATTCTAAAGTATCATAGGCCTCTGACCGATTAATCATGTGACCTTGTAAAGGATACTGGACCCCAATCACTCAGCGAGGAGAGGACTTCACAATAAGCAAGATGTTGTGCCCAAGCCAACCTTTCCAGGGTAAATAAATTCCAGATGCCGCACTGTCCTCTCCTGCTGTGCTCGGCCTCAGCCACGGTAACCGGGTCGACTTCTCCTCCCAGGCAGGTTGCAAAAGGCATGAATCGCTCATGCTGCAAAAAGAGATCAGGACGACCAACAAACATGCGTGGGGAGCCCAGGGCTCCACCTTCTATTACACGGGGAACGACAGAGACAGCAGAGGGAGGGTTAAGTTTCATGTCCCACATGGCTTTCAAAAATATATTGTTCCTTCACAGTATACATAAAGCAGAGTTAAAACAACTCGCTATCTTTGTGCATGGGCGGCTTTTATAAACAAAAGCAGACCTCTGTTTAATGGCCCAAGTTCAAGGCTACGCCAGAGCCATCAACCAGGAGTGCCTGCCATAACAAACTGACGTCAGGCTATGCTTTCAAAACACACAACAAAGGCCCCAGTGTTTAAAAATAGATCCTGCCCGTTTTCCTCATTTTGGTTCTTCAAAGAAAAAAAAAAAATAAAGACAAACCCCAGGACAGGCTCTCCAGTTCCAGAAGCCTCTCGGATGAGCGCCGCCAGCCAGGCTGCAACCACCGGTCTCCGTCCTTCACCACCCCACAAGGCAGGGGATGAAAGTCAGCCCTGCCTGCCCAACTAATCCCCCGCTGAAATAACTAGCCTGGCTTTGGCAAGGGGAGATAAAAGAGGGTGATGTATTACAAACACCGAGCAGATGAGGGCTCCAAGAGGTTAAGCCTTTCAGCAAAACGCGGCTTTCTGCTCCTTTCCAGGCCAAGAACCGTCGAGGGCTCTAGTGAGGGGAGGCAGGAGCCATCCATCGTGACCCAGCTGACAGCTCCTCGCCCGGCAGAGGGGGAGGGAGACCGAGGCCAGCCCCTGCTGCCCGGGCAGGGGGGCACCGGGAGCGGGCAGCCGGGCTGAGCCGAGAGCCGCACCCCCCGCAAAATAACGAACCCCTGCCTTCCCGCCCTGCACCCCGGGGCCGTCACCTGCTGAGGTCGCTCACGTAGCTGCTACTTTTCTCATCCAGGAACCGCGTCCAGCCGTCCGCCGTCTTCACCCAGCTCTGCCCCGGCGAGCGCCAGTCCTGCCCCAGGAAGGGCATGGCTGCGGCTGCGGCTGCGGCGAGGCCCCTCGGGCAGGCGCGGGTGTGCGCGCGAGGCGGCCGCGGCTTGTATTTATCCGGCGCTGGCGCGGGCTTTGTTGCCG